GTTTAGAACACAAAAACTATCAAACTCGCACTTTTACTTGGAACAAAAATACATTTATTTCAAGACAACTCACCTGGGGTGAATATTTAAAAATCCATGTCAACTTTAGAATAAGGCAAAGGATTCAAAGGAAACATCTCACACGCACACTGACATTCAGCGAAGCAACATTCAAACGAATATGGACAACAAAAAATTCCCACCAAAATGAACACGTGACTGAAGATCAAAAGACCAAAGTGCACCCAATGAAACGCAAGGTTCGTCAATCGATATACATGTATTCTATTTATAGCATCAAAGTGAATTGACCTAACTGTGAGTAGTGCTCCCTTTCACATTCAATAGAGGATCCACCTTACTTGAATTTCTTTATATAGTTTGAATCACATTTTATTTTTAGTACATATGATGCGAAATTTTCTGAAGTATTAATTTTATTTATCCAATTTACATTGACATTCTTACTAACTATCTTAATCATAGGCGTCGGAACCGGGGAGGGGGTAGGGGGGCTAAGCCCCCCACTTTTTTTGCCAATAGATACATAATACAGGCATTGAAAATAGGGGTTTACATTCTTTTGTTGGTTTAGCCCCCCCCCCCACTTTCAATTTGCTTAAACCGACGCCTAAATATGTAAATCATTTCAATATGTCTGCACTATCTTTTACGCAGTATTGAACTGCTTTAATAGTTACCATGTTCTTCATAAGAAAAGAAAGAAAAAATCCGAAGGATAACATAAATGTATCATCTAGGCCTATTTTAAGAAAGCCTACAAGGGTCAAATTAGAAAATGAAGAAATAAAAATTAAGTCGTAATAACGACTTTTTATCTCGTAATAACGACTTTTTATCTCGTTATTACGACTTTCTTAAGTCGTAATAACGACTTTTTATCTCGTAATAACGACTTTCTTAAGTCGTGATAACGACTTTTTATCTCGTAATAACGACTTTCTTAAGTCGTAATAACGACTTTTTATCTCGTTATTACGACTTTTTATCTCGTTATTACGACTTTCTTAAGTCGTAATAACGACTTTTTATCTCGTAATAACGACTTTATTAAGTCGTAATAACGACCTTTTCTCTCGTAATAACGACTTTCTTAAGTCGTAATAACGACTTTTTATCTCGTAATAACGACTTTTTATCTCGTAATAACGACTTTCTTAAGTCGTAATAACGACTTATTATCTCGTTATTACGACTTTCTTAAGTCGTAATAACGACTTTTTATCTCGTTATTACGACTTTTTATCTCGTTATTACGACTTTCTTAAGTCGTAATAACGACTTTTTATCTCGTAATAACGACTTTATTAAGTCGTAATAACGACTTTTTCTCTCGTAATAACGACTTTTTATCTCGTTATTACGACTTTTTTCTCGTTATTACGACTTTCTTAAGTCGTAATAACGACTTTTTATTTATTTTTTTTTTCCATTTGAAACATTTTTTCAACTTGATCCTTCTAGGAGATAAAATGGAAACGTGCCCGGTATAACGGTGTCGTGTAGCTGAAAACGCGATGATTGTTTAGTTATAAAATTGTCAAAACAGTTGCACCAGAGTTTGACAGTTTATTTATTTATATTTATTATAATCTGTAATTATTGACAATATTTGGACTTGTTTTGTTTACACACTTAATTATAATCTAAATCATTATGCCGCTAAATTGAAGACATTAGTGTTGCACATCGCAGAAATCATTTCAAAATATTATATATGATACATAAGCGCGTGTCGAAAGCAAACTGAAGGGGGGGGGGGGGGCTAAACCAACAAAAAATGTTTGGGGGCTACTCAGTAAGCCCCAATTATCAATGCCTATGTAGACTACATTATGTATTTCTTTGCAAAAAAGGGGTTTAAATTGTTGTTCAAATGTACTTTTACATTCCTCGTTCACAGACAAAAACTTTCAAAATATCAACGTGAAAGTCTATGCTATATTATTATAACCAAATTACCATATATTGGCAACTTCTTTCCGTACCAGATTTAAATTAAACTACCACATCACCCTTATTTGGCTATATTGCAACAAAAAGTGTTGGGGGGGCGGCAATGAACTTTTTCATCAGCAGGAAAGTTATGTTTGAGAAAATAATGGGTAAGCCTCCACCCCCACCCTGCAACGTGCCTGATAAGCAGATGATACTCATTTTCTTTTGTCAGTTTGATGTATAAATCAACTTCACGAGGCGCGGTCATAAGTTTCCGTAATACGGAAAGGTCAAAAATAGCAAATTATTGAAAATAATCTTACTAAAAAAAAGTCGTAATAACGAGATAAAAAGTCGTAATTACGACTTAAGAAAGTCGTAATAATGAGATAAAAAGTCGTAATAACGAGATAAAAAGTCGTTATTACGAGAAAAAAAGTCGTTATTACGAGATAAAAAGTCGTTATTACGACTTAATAAAGTCGTTATTACGAGATAAAAAGTCGTTATTACGACTTAAGAAAGTCGTAATAATGAGATAAAATGTCGTTATTACGACTTAATAAAGTCGTTATTACGAGATAAAAAGTCGTAATAACGAGATAAAAAGTCGTTATTACGACTTAAGAAAGTCGTCATTACGAGATAAAAAGTCGTTATTACGACTTAAGAAAGTCGTTATAACGAGATAATAAGTCGTTATTACGACTTAAGAAAGTCGTTATTACGAGATAAAAAGTCGTAATAACGAGATAAAAAGTCGTAATAACGAGATAAAAAGTCGTTATTACGACTTAATTTTTTTCTCTTCATTTTCTAATTTGACCCTTGTAGGCTTTCGTAGAAATTTTATTTTAGTTTAAATCATTTAAACACGCACAAAATTATGAATCGAAATTTTTCCCATCCAGAGGGGTTAGAAGTCCATAAATTATTTCTAAAGTATTGATTTTATTTATTCAATTTAGATCGGTATTTTCATAAACTACTCGTATCTTAATTTTTTGATTCTAAATTTAGAAATTTTGTTTCAATATGCCTGCTCTATCTTCAGACACGTAGCAACAAGGGGGGGGGGGTGCTTTTTTCCCAACATTACATTTACTATTGAAAATGTCCACAGAAAGGTTGGTCCCCCCCCCCCAATTAATACCACAGTATAGTGATATCAAGGAAATGTAGTATTGTATGCAAAAAAAAAAAAAAAAGGAAGTGAAAGGAAGTTGGTCTTGAAAGAAGTTGGCCAATACCATTGTGCAAAGTTCGAAAAAACTATTTTTAGCATAGAGGTCAAAGTCATGGTCACAATGTCAATGGCCTTGGTGTCATTTGAAGGAATTTAATTAGTAGAGTACCGGTATGCATACCAAATATGAAATCTATATTTCTCGCGGTTCAAAAGTTATGATCAAGGTTAGAATTAACAACAGACAGACAGATAAACAGACAGGACAAAAACAATATAAACCCGATATATCGACCCGGGCGCATAATAATTTAGATCTTTGAAAAATCGTTATAAAGAATCTAAAGATTGAAAGAATTTTAAATATTCTAATGCAAAATTAGTACAGATAATTGGGAGGAAAATGAATATTGGTGTAATATTGAATTTGTTGAGAAACTTTCTCAATTTCATTTATTCCATTTTATATAAAAAATCAGATCATCAAATGTGAATCATCAAATTACCCCAATCTGATTAAATCAGATCCTTGATCTGCTCCTTTAGTTTTAGCTCACCTGAGCCGAAAGCTCAAGTGAGTTTTTCTGATCACACTTTGTCCGGCGTCCGTCTGTCTGTCCGTCCATCTGTAAACTTTTCACATTTTCGACTTCTTCTCCAGAACCACTGGGCCAATTTCAACCAAACTTGCTACTAAGCATCCTTGGGTGAAGGGGATTCAAGTTTGTTCAAATGAAGGGCCACATCCTAATTCAAGGATAGATTCTTTAGAAACAGTGAAAATTTGGTGGAATGTTTTAAAAATCTTCTCAAGAACCAATTGTGCCAGGAAAGATGAAACTTATGATGAAACATATACCGCTTTCAAATCGTCTTTTCAAGAACAGCAAGGCCATGATTGGTCATATTTGTGTAGAATCATCCTCAGGTAGTGAAGATTTAAATTTCTCCAAGTCATGACCCCTTGTGGTAGGGCGGGGCCACAAAAGATAAGCAAAGTTTTACATAGAAATATATAGGAAAAATTTTAAATATACATGTATATCTCAAGAACAGCAAAGCCAAGATTGGACATATTTATGTGGAGGCATTCTGAAGTTGTGCAGATTTATCATTTATATTTGTTCAATTGATGACCAGGCGGATTGGAGGAGGCCGGTTGGGGGTTTAGGGTGGAACCACAGCCGGTGTAAGTTCAACTTTAAAAGGTTAAAAACCTGCATTTAGTCAAAGAAATATACAAACATATTAAGTGTATATTCAAGCATTGAAAACATGATCTCATCACCTTTAAGGGTAGGTTGGGACCACTTGTGGATTTAAAATTTTCAATAATGACGCGATTTCTCACTTTTCTTAGCCACGGTGCTCTGGTGAGCGATGTGGCCCATGGGCCTCATGTTTAAGGCTATAGGGAGTTGTAATGTAAAATAAATGAAAAGTAAAGTTAATGTCATCACTGCCCACTTGTGAAAGAGCAAGGGCATAAGTTTATAATCATTGAAAAGGATTTTTCCTACATTTTATATACTATCATAAAGAAAAAAAAAATCAAAATCAAGTTTGTAAATTATTTATTTTCAAATTATTTTATTCTAGAAATAAAATTAATTGCCGTGCAGCTGCATCAAAATCTCACTAAATCTAACTGCTTAAATGTAAATTAGTTAAGTTTTCTTACAACACATTCTTTTTTGTTATGGTATCGTTATACACGAATCTGAGTACGCGTGCACTTGCATCATCAATAATGATCACGTGACCGCCATCCGGAAGTTAAAAAAATGGTTGAAGAGTCTGATCAAACGGATACGAGTGTTTAGGTCTAGTACATGCAATACGTAGGCTGTAATTTCCTTTTTTAAAGATAATTTTGTATGAAAATTGTCATGAAGAATGGTTTAGTTTCAAGCGCTGCAACTAGCCAGGTGTTTTACTGAAAAATATAGGCCTAATATGAAAGCACTAAAGCAGATCAGCGGATGTAAAGAAACGGATAATGTCATTTATCATGTTTATATACCTAAATAAGTAAGAACCATTCATCCTTGAAGCCTTTGTTGATCATTTAAAAGCCAAGGGTATCGTGTGCAGATACACGTGAGGGTTTATTGATCGTAGTCAACCGTAAGCTGTAAAATACCCGAATTACTCCTTGCATTGTGCACGGTGGAAGACGATTGGATTGTTTGGAAAGTGGGTGTTTCTAAACACTGTTATGTAACTTTAAAAAAACGTGACAATGGAACTGAGTTATGAAAATATACAAGTTTGATTCCAGTGCACTTAATTGTGGTCATATGCTAGGAAATCGATAATTAACAGAGTCGCCTACAGGTAGGAAGCAGAAGAAAGGGCTGGAGAGAAAATCCTGTGGACTCGGTTCTAAGTGACTATACAGGATGACTATGCATCAAGAGAAGCCGAGTATGAATGGGACCACCAATCATGCCAATGGCCACATCCCTGCATCTAAGGAGGAGAAGAAACCCAACATACTGCAGAGGGCGGCTAATGGTATCATCTGGTTCTTTGAGACTGGGTTTGAAAAGTAAGAATTAATGTCCATAAAATCACTTAATATCTCTCTAATTTGCAAGAAAGAATTTCCATAAAATCACATACACATGTAATTTCTCTCTAAATTGCAAGAATGAAAATTTTGTCTTATTTAATTATGCCGATATAAATGTCTCAAGAATGAAAAAAAAGTGTTTTTACAGTAATGAAATTGATTATATTTTATAGCACAGCATTATATCACATAGTATTAACTCTAGACAAACATTATACCCGGTAATTATTGCCGTTTTTGAGGTCAGTGTGATGATTTATAGACACATGGTGTACAACATTTACTGAGACGGAAGGGTTTAATTATCATATTGACAATCAAATATGATCAAAGGGTCAAATCATCATATTTTATTGGCCTTGAACACAACAATAATTGTTTTTAGCTCACCTGAGCCGAAGGCTCAAGTGAGCTTTTCTGATCACATTTTGTCCGTCGTCCGTCCGTTTGTCTGTCTGTCCGTCCGTCTGTCCGTCTGTCTGTCCGTCTGTAAACTTTTCACATTTTCGACTTCTTCTCAAGAACCACTGGGCCAATTTTGACCAAACTTGGTACAAAGCATCCCTGGGTAAAGGGGAATTTAAATTGTTAAAATGAAGGGACATATCCCCTCGCAAGGGGAGATAATCAAGAAAGGAGAAAAATAGGGTTGGGTCATTAAAAAATCTTCTTCTCAAGAACCACTGGGCCAGAAAAGCTGAAACTTATGTGAATGCATCCTGGTATAATGTAGATTCTAAATTGTTCAAATAATGACCCCCAGGGGAAGGACAGGGTCACAATGGGGAATCAAAGTTTTATATAGAAATATATAGGAAAAATCTTTGAAAATCTTCTTCTCAAGAACCACTGGGCCAGAAAAAGTGAAGCTTATGTGGAAGCATTCTGGGGTAGTGTAAATTCTAAATTGTAGGAATCATGACCCCCGGGGGAAGGGCGGGGCCACAATGGGGTATCAAAGTTTTACATAGAAATATATAGGAAAAATCTTTGAAAATCTTCTTCGCAAGAACCACTGGACCAGAAAAGCTGAAACTTATGTGGAAGCATCCTGGTATAATGTAGATTCTAAATTGTTCAAATAATGACCCCCGGGGGAAGGGCGGGGCCACAATGGGGAATCAAAGTTTTATATAGAAATATATAGGAAAAATCTTTGAAAATCTTCTTCTCAAGAACCACTGGGCCAGAAAAAGTGAAGCTTATGTGAAAGCATTCTGGGGTAGTGTAAATTCTAATTATAGGAATCATGACCCCCGGGGGAAGGGCGGAGCCATTATAGGGGAATCAAAGTTTTACATAGAAATATATAGGAAAAATCTTTGAAAATCTTCTTCTCAGGAACCACTGGGCCAAAAAAGCTGAAACATATGTGCCCATGGAAGGATCATGGGGTAGTGTAGATTTCAAAATGTCTAAATTATGATCAGTGGGGTAGGGTGGGGATGCATTATGTATAACAAGTGGGAAATCTGGTAAAGAACAGAATGGTCAAAGCTTCTCAGGTGAGCGATGTGGCCCATGGGCCTCTTGTTTTTATTATATGATTCAGTTATTAAATGATACAAATTAATTAAGCATTATTTGCCATCTACCCATCTTACATGCTTTATGTAGACCTAGCCTAAGCCATATATATGCAATTATAAGAGAAGCAGGTTAAATAATTGAATGAATATAAGAAGTATTTATCACCCCTTACACACCCCATCCATCCCAGATTTTATGAACCTGAGTGTTGTGTTCACTTGAGAAGAGTTCATTTGGAAATAAAATAACTAATTTTCAAAAAAAAAACTATATCAACTAAGGATTTCCTAATCTATTTTTAGTCCAATGTTGAATAAAATAAATCATATGTTCACCTGAAAGGTCAGTGAACTCAACATAACTTACCAGGGTAGTCATTTTTTCTGCAATGCTGGATATCAGTGAGAGAATTAGGAATATTATTCATGCAATCATGTAATAATGATAATTAATTACTGTTTAAATATTTTTTATACTTTGACAGGATTGGTACATTTCTGGCGACACACCCATGGAAGACACTTCTCATCACGTCAGCCATCGTTGGCCTTTTCTGTATAGGTAATATCAAATTCGGCGAAAATGAAGACAATAGTGTGATTTGGGTGCCATCAGATTCCGACCTTATGGACCACAAAAAATATGTTGAAAGTGTATACCCATCAACAACAAGATTTTTCTACCTTATTCTTGTTGCCAATGATGTTATGGATCCTACTACAATGAGTAATGTAAGTTTTAATGAGTTTCTATAGTGTTAAAATGCAAATTAAAAGATTTTTTAACAAACTATACCATCCATGTACATGAATTAATTGATTAAAAAAAATTAATGAATGAGGTTTAGCACATCTTTTAAATATGATTTTTAACTCAAATTTATACTAGTAATTTATTTTCATATTTTAGATTTACAATATCTATGAAAGCATAACTGCAGTCACCTCAAACTCTGGAAATTATTCATCAATATGTTTCAAGTAAGTTTCAGAAACGTAATATATCATTGATCTGATACTTTTATGATAAGTACACATTTACTACAATTTTCATTAATTTAAATATTTTAATTTTAATCAAATTTTGAAAATTGAAAATCACAAGTAAACTATTAGTCTCAACTTATTTTTGAGACTCAGTTTTCAGGCTTGTTACCAAAGGAATATCTCACAGGATATTTATACAAAACCTGCATATATTTTTAATCTGTGCTAAATTAAGGCAGCACCTGACATACATATTTTGCTGGTTCTCGGGCCATTTTTTGTGGATGTTTCACAAACATAAAAAACACCAGGGAGATTTTCATTGTATTTTAACGTTTTATGCTTGTAGTGAAGTACATGTAATTTGTTATGTGCAGTAAATATTTCATGATGTAGTACTGATTTTGACTAAATAAGAGTAAATTGATATTCTTGAAAGACTGATTCTCTGCAAAAAAAGTGTGCAAGACTCATCATGTTGATGCATGCACCTTTTCTTTATGTACCATGGTTTGTATCCACAGAATCAGTCTTGTTAGGAAAACTATAGGCTAGTTTCGATTTATCATATGATATTGTTTACAATTTGTTTGCAATAGTAAATGACACTGACATGATCTGCAGCCATCATCTTTTTTTTTTTTTTTTTTTTTAGATCTAATGGAAATTGCCTGGTAACAAGCGTATTGGAGCTGTGGTCATACAATAGTGCTACCATCAGTGGTCTTAATGCAGGAACGATACGATCAGATGTAAACACTATAACAACAAGGTAAATAGTATGGCATTGTGTCTTGTATTTATTGCTTCTGTTTCCATGGAGAAAAAGTTCTGTAGAAAACCTATAGACTGCACATACATGTTGCTTCAGTATGTTTCTGTATTGTGTTCAATACAATATGAATTCATTAAAGTGAAGTAAATGTGCATTACCAGGTAATTGAATTAATTACTGGTTTATTTAATTTATTAAACTGCAAAATGGAATCAAAAGTTGATCATTTATAACAATTTTTTACAATTCTGATTTAAAAAAAAAAAAAAAGAATGCCAGAAAATTAAAATGCAGTGAAAATTATACATGCAATGAAAATTAATGACAAAAGAGGGAGAAGTTCCGATTTTAATTGGACCAAAAATGGTTCTAAAAACCCCTATGTCCACCAACTCTTGAATTAAGGTTGATAAACATGTTAAAAGAGTTAATATCATTTAAATACACAGACATTATTTAATAAGCAATATTCTGCTTTGTTATTCAAAATAAAAAAAATTGCAATTACTTTGATTTCTATCACTTGCTAAATTATATTTTTAGCTCACATAAGCTGAAAGTTCAAATGACCTTTTCTGATCTAAGTGTGTCCGCCGTATGTTTGTCATGTATCGAATGTCATATGTGGTCTGTAAACTTTTCACAATTTTAATTTCTTCTCAAGAACCACTGGGAGGACATGTATACATTGTAAATGATGACAGTCCATCATTGCTTCACATCTTATCTCTTAAACATCATAATTTGAAGACGTCAGGTTACAGTTCATATTTTCCTCTTTATTATAGTCCCATGTACTCATCTCCATGGGAAGCCACAAAGTATCTGGGAGGAAGAACAGTGTCAGGATCAGACATAACAGCTGCCAAGGCGGCCTACATCACCTTTTATATTGATGCAGTGAGTACTGTAGCAAAGAGTAATATATGAATGATAAGTGTCTCAAATGGCCCCCTAAAATAAATATCTTACTTTTAATTTATATATAGCTTTACTATGCACAGCTATACATGCGACCTTTATTGTTAATTTTCAATTTGATCAAAATGCTGTTAATATAGAAATATGACATCATAAAGTTCATGTTTTCCCGCAATTTTTGCATATTTTGTATAAAACTGCTTATTTTCAAGCAGTTTTTTCTTCCAGAAAATACGGAGCGCAAACTAGAACATACTTTAATTTTTTACCAAAGATGTTATTATGACAGAAAAATTATGCATGTTCTACAATGCGCTCTATGTTTCCCATAAGAAAAAACATCAAGAAAAAGAAATATTTTTGGCTTTTTATGGTGTTATTTGCGTCATCATTTACAGCCAGTGAGTGCATATAAATGTGAAAAATATATCGGAAATACATCTAATATAATCTCTTTTACAAAAAAAATATCAAATAAACATATCTGAATGTCATTCTAAAATGCTGATTTTTAGGGGGCCAAAATTGGCTCTTAACATATATAGTCCTTTAGTTATTTATCCTTAAAAATTGGTATAAAGTTTGAGTGTGAAGTAATTAAAAGATTTTTTAATGCTCATTTCAAAAAGCTATTACAAATAATATGCAATGAATCAATTGTTAGCTTGATTCAGTTATAGCGATCATGGTAACCTCGCTAATAATACCAAAATTGAATCCTCACTAAATTTCTGCTAATACAGTATTTCAAATTATGTTTATAAAGTGGCTATTTAAGCCAGCTTTATAACTGAACAGTATAAGCATTTTGCCACCTCATTGGGGATGATTTCCAAATTTACTGGCCAATAAAAATGTCATTGATACATTGCAAAAGAGATCTTCTCAGTTCTCAGCCTTTTTGTGACAGAAATTTGTGAGGATAAAGATTTTTGCATTTTCAAGTACATGTTCAAGTTATAAATGCTATACAAGAAAAGTGATGTAAAAATGTATGGGTAATTTTAATTTGATTTGTACATGTACATGTTAGTCTGCAAACCTCTCTATTGTGTAATGGTTTACAACTACAATGAACACTATGTCAGCTAAAATACTCCCACCAAAATTAATGCCATACGCATACCGTTTGAGCACAAAAAAATGCTAAATTTTATAGCTGCTGAAGAAATTGAATATATATATACAATATTACAGAGAAACTTTAAGATACATGTATAAGGTTTTCTTTTTTTTCAGACAAGTAGTATTTCAAGCAAAAATGCCAAATTTTACAGATGATAAAGAAACTTCGTATAAGTAGAATTTTTAGCCAGGCTTTAATTTTGGCATTATAAGCAAGGATGCCGAGATTGCTAAAATTGAATATTGCTAAAAATTAATTGCATATTATTTGTAATAGCTTCTTTAATGTGCATTTAAAAATAGCTAAAATAACATCTCGCTAAAAATAGATTACCATTTTTTAAGGACAAATCACTAAATTTGTGTCTCGCTAAAATTTCCACTTATAGGGTACAATATTTCAGTGAAACTTTAAAATATGAGGTTTCTTGGTTTTCAGACAAGTGATAGTGATAAAACAGCCGCAGAACAGTGGGAAGAAAAAGCTGTGGAAAAGGCCAAGAGTCTGGATGGTCAATCAGGAATCCAGGTCTTCTATTTTGCAACTTTCAGGTAGGAATTTTAAACTTATAATTATAAATTTATATGGATTGATATAAATTATGACTTTATTCATATCTTGACAATTCATTTATCTGGATGATTTGGCCAGGAACCAAATTGTCAAGTTTAACAAGACTCCACTGTATACTAAAGTCATGATTTATATCCATTCATTCAAAAGTTTATCCTACATGAATGGAAAAAGAAACGCTTATGCTGTATTTCAAGAAATAGATGTATTTCTAATGTTTTTTTTTTTTACAGTCGGGGTGAGGAAGCAGGTGGAGCTATAAGGAAGGATGTGTCCCTGTTATCAGCTGGCTATTTCCTTGTGATTATCTACCTGTTCATTGTCTTTGGGAGACTCAACTGTGTAGAACAAAGGGTATACTATTGATGCATTCAACTCCACATTCCATAAAGCCAAGCTGAGAATTTTTTTTCCGTTATTCTATTTGGTAATTTGTATTAAGTGCATTTACTTTCGTCTTTCAGGTTGGTTTATCCCTAGCCGGCATCATTGTGATTGGAATGACTATAGGGTTTTCCTTTGGATTGTCTAGTGCTGCAGGCTGGAAATACGGACCACTTCACTCCATTCTGCCTTTCCTACTTCTAGGTTAGATGGTTTAAGATTATGCAACATATATAGAAACTTCAAATGTATTTGAATTAAATATGAATTTTGGCATGACCTTTTACCTCTTTTCAGGTCAAAATGGTCAGCTTAACATGAAAATGGAGAGCTCATGATGACTCTCTTTATGTTAAAATGTACAACTATGCCAATGACGTAGTCTTAGAACAGCTGTATCAAATTTACACTATATCAAATTTACAAAAAAAATTATACAACTATGGACTCTTTCAGTGGTGAATGATTAGTTATTCCCCAGAAAAATATCAATATTGACCTCAGCTTTGCCTTGTTCAATTTATATTTTTTGGTTTAATAACAAACTATATTCATTACCGAAAAAATCATTATTGTTTTATTATATAGTCAAAATTTGAATGAATAAGATTTTAAAAGCTGCATGAAAATTTGATTTTTTATTAACAAACTTTTCGAAAAAAAAATGTCCAAATTACAACTTACCTGTAATTATGACTTCTGTGTTTTCCTTTTTGCTGTGTTTAAGACATCTAAATGTTTGGAAAATGATCCTGCAATGGACTTGCCCAGCAATTTTCCTGCTCAGACATAAAGCTAGCGCTGGTTGTTGCCATCATTGTTTTTTAAGTTCTTTGAGATATGTGTATTGATAGTGACGTCACAATGCCACTGCATGCACTCTGATCCTCCTTTGAAAATGGCTTTCAATCCAGTGAAGATGTAGTACATGTATTATGAACTGTTTTCTTTTATATAGATAATATAGGGCTATGTATAAATTTAAAATATAATTTGTTTTACAGGTATTGGAGTAGATGACATGTTTGTCATTGTGGGGTCATACCAGAGTCTCAGTCACCACGAACTCAGCCTGCCCTTACCCCAGAGGATGGGGAAGCTGTTACGACACGCGGGGGTATCCATTCTTGTGACGTCAGTCACAGACATCCTGGCTTTTGGAATAGGTGCTACAACAGTGAGTGAAATTTCATTTTGTCGATAGTTTGGTTTCTGTGAAAGTTT